GCCGGCGCAGCGCGCCCTCGCTGCGGCAAGGGGAAAAATTCGCAGGGAGACGGGAGGTTTCACTGAAGAGGGTAACTGCTGATTAAATTAGCAATAGAATACATAAGCTTATGGTATGCCAAAGTAAGGTAAAAGAGAGCTTCCACATTGGTCTTTCTGCTAATCCTCCCTGCAATCAGAACGCAGAATAGAATCAGAATAGAATAGAATAGAAACCCCGTGTTAAAACAAAAATCATAAGGCTAAAATAATTCTTGGTGTGGCTGGAGGGATCTCGGAGCTGAATCTGACCCCTTACCTATGAAGGCCGATTTCGGCTCGACTGATGACTGAAGTATTACAGGAAATTACGTATGGGTCCATATCCTCAGAACCCTCTAACTCCAGTCTGCAGTGCCTCCAGTATCTCCTCGTATAATTCCCTTCTTAAAATACACTGTTTTCTGAAACCTATAAATGCTAGTCTTCTCCTCTGAAAAAAAGTCATTAAAAAAATAAAATAAATCAAATCCTTCCAGATGTGTTTTACTAACGCAAAAAAAAAAAAAAAAAAATTTGCTTTATTATGTTCCCTACTTTGACTTCCCTGAGCCCCAAGGGTGTAACATTACCATTTTCTCAAGTTGGATCCAAGCCCTGTAATTGATGAATTGTCCATAGGATCCATATGGAACTCTAGCAAAATCACTGACAGCACCAAAATGTGTGCTTGTGTCCCACTGTGTGCTGGGCACCCACACATATAAACTCTTCATGCCGGTGACTTCTCTCACTGTAAAGCGCTGTGCTCATCTCTAGCAATGGATCCAACTCACAGTGAAACGGCAGCGGTTCTGTAGTAATGGTCAGACATCACTGAGATGAGTTCAAATGAGAAAACATGACTGGAAACTAATTCTTATAATATTGGCTTACTAAGCATCATGTGGAGTTCTTTCAGTATGTTTTAGGATTGCAGGGGGCAAGTATATAATCTATTATGATTCACATTCTTCCAAATGTGTTTTAAAAGCTGAGAGAAGCATAATTTTTCATCTAACTTTGGGCTTTGTTCAACTGCCCACACAGTTAAGATACCTTCTAGTGCCTGAAACATCCACATGGAGCCTTGTGTCCTTCTGGGACAGCAAGAGTGGTCAGAGAGTTCCGATCCAGCATAACCTAGGGCATTTCAGCTGGTGCTAGACACCTATGTGTAGGCAAATGAGTCCCACCTCTTGTGTTGTCTAAATGTGGAGCTTGGAAATCTCTAACTGTGTCTTGCCAAGCATTGCTATTAGAGTGTCTGGGTTCCTAGAAGTGTAGAAATGATTATTTCCGTGATGATACATCGTCACTGCACTAAAGTCTTTAAGTCTTTAGTGTATTTTGTGGGTGACTGATTCTGAGCTCTGCAGAAAATGCTTGTGGAAGAGATTGATTTTCTTGGTGTTCCAAATATTATTATTATTGTATTACAGTAAAGACTTGTACATTTTAGTATTGTCCAATGCTTGAAAAAATGTTAAAATAGATGCTTTGAAAAGATTAGGTAATCTGTGGGGAATAGGCAGTCTAAGCCTCAGGCTTCTTCTATATGCCAATGAATGTAGGAGTACGTAAAACATTTCATTAGCTTTGTTTTAAGAAGTCACTTCATTAAATCATGCAGTCAAACCAACCTGCAAGTTAGCCTGCTCACTAGCAGTTAAAGATGGAAGGTGGGTTTGGCCAACCTAGCTCTTAAATGTGTCTTGTCCCCACATTTTTAATGTAGCTTTTTGCAAAAACCAAGTTACTCATTGTCACTGGCAGGTTCCTCAGACATAAGATAATTGGACCACAATCTTTTCCTCTTCCAGCGATTTGGTTTGAGTCACTTTAGATATCAAGTAAGTCTCAAAGGTCCCTGGAAAAGACTGTGAGATTTAATATCATTGTTAAGCCGGTTTGTTTTACATTTGTGACCAACTCACATGAGCCAGACACATTTAAAATGGACTTGTTGCTACAGAGTGCAATGCTGTCCTACTACTCAGGCATCCAAAGATGACCTTACAAATTGCAGGCTTTAGTGGGAGAAAATGTTTGTGAATTCCCCAGTCCCAGAACCAGAAGAGGAATTCACGCAAGTCCGTACAGCTTCTAAATATCCAGGAGATGAGACTGTCCCATGTCCCAGCGCAGGGGCCCCGGGGCGTGTCGTTTTGTGTCCACACGTGTGAGATCAGTCAGGCATTGCTACATTTTGGGTCCGTATCCAATTCTAATCTGTGAAAGTATGTGAAGTGAAAGACATTATAGACAGGATTAGCAGTCAAGATACCTGCAGACAGCAGGGACCTCGTAGTCCTCCTCAGTGCGCATTACGGTTAGTGCACAATAGGAAACATCTTTGCCAGATGATAAAGAAGAAACATTCCGTTTGTTGCCAACGGTAAATACATACAGAGGAGTAAATGTGTCATGAATAAAGTGTCCCTAAGGAAATCTTGGAAGACCCTAAGTGTTTATTTACATACTTTTAGTCCCAGCAGCTGTAGAGCTATGTGAGTGTAGTGCTCTGCCCAGGCTAACTAGTTGGTTAAGAATTATCACAGCTATCTTTTTCATGCTAGTTATTATCTCCTCACAATGAGACAATTCAGGCAGCCCTGCCAGAAACCCAGACTTTGGAGAACCAAAGCAATGGTGTCAATTATGATCACGAGTCTCTCTCACACACACACACAAAATCTGAGCAAGTGCCTGGGGTTTACAGAATAAATTGAATAAGAACTCAAAATACAACACCTCTTTCACAGCATAGACGGAATCCTGCATGTATTTTAAGACCTGATGCTCTTTATTTTTGCCAGAATATTGAACCAGAGGAAAATCTGAGCCCAACGTGCACAATCTGATAGGAGCTCTCTGTCTATTAGATTACCTTGCAGATATTTATCTACAAAAAGATATGTAAAAAGTCTATGTAAGAAAAAAGTCAATAAGGCAACTGCAGATTCAATTTTTGCAGTTGGAAAAAAATAATTCCTCATACTGAAGCTCTTCATTCTCCCTGCTGCTTTATGTTATCTCTGTTTTAACTGCTGTTAATGAAAGGCTCATCAAAAGGCAGTGCCAATTCACAATAATATTTAAATGATGAATTAATCTCTTAGTCCTCATGGCAGCTCCCTTTCAGCTGTTTTCCCTGCATACTTTACATCTCCATTTATATGACTGAGAGTGGGGTGCACATGGGGAGAATGGAGCAAACATTGATTGGCTCTGCAGCCCCAAGAGAAGAATTTGCCTCATGCCTTATATATTTGTAAAGGCATGGAAGGAAAACATCGCCTGCTGAAGTAAATCTAAGATTGTCCTTCAGCAAGACTCGCTAAAATTAAGTAAATAACTCAAAGCAAGACTCAGCTTAACTTAGGCCTTTCTACAGTTGCCATTCTAACTTCTAATAATTTGACCAACTTGTTGCCTTACTTCTGCTGGTTAAAAAAAAAAGCCAAACCTTCCCCTGTTTCTAAATGCAGTTCTGCTTTGAAAAGTGACCCTAAAAATTGCACGCAGGCTCCATGTTTATTCTGTGTCAGCTATTTCCTTATTGAATGGGCTCAGTTAGCCAGTAAGGAACCTTTTCCTCCTATGTGCCAGCCCTGCATATTTCAAGTGGAACTTAGGGGTCAACCCGGATTTTTTCTTCTCATGTAGGATGACCCAAAAAACAAGGATCCTGCAAGTGTCAGTAAGCCCTCAATTACATGTGTGCAATTCCGTAGTCTTCTGTGGCTTTGCCTAAGGTTTAACTGACTGGAAGGGATTCTTTCGTGATAAACAGGAGGCAATAGAAAACAGCTCACTGTGTTCTTTATGCTAGATCTGCTGTGCTAACAGGAGCAAAAAGCAGTGAACAGTGATTTTAATTATTAAGTGAACAGACAGAAAATATGTAAGATTCTATTTAAGAAAGGTGCTTGCTTGAAATTCCATGTTTTCAGGAATCTCCATCTTTAACATAATAGAGCATTACAGCTGACAAGGAAAGTAAAATACTTTCCTTTTTTTCTTGGACATGCCATTCATCTGATGGGAAGAGAACAGATAGTCCTCATAATGAGAAAGGAACAAAATTATTTGAATTATTTTGCATGCAATAGCAAGATAAAAGATAGTGTGTACAACCCTCAGTTATGGGTGGTCTTCATTGTGGAGTGCAGCAAGTCAGAAGATGACTGTATGTACATTTTGCTAGATGGGAATAACCCGCTCTGGGCATTTTATTATTTATTAATTCATCTTGGCAGCTTTGGCAGTCAAGCATGAAGATTTTCTGCTCTTCTGAAATCTCTGTGTTCTGGAAGACCAGAGTTGAAGTTTATCTGATTTTTTTTTTTTTTTCAAAATATTTAAGATAGCAAATAGTGAGCAAAAGTTTTCTCAATTCAGAGTTTTGATCTTGCAACCCCAGTGCAGCTTAAACTGAGCTGTACAAGGCATACTCTGTTAGCAAGGGTAGAAAAAGCCAAGAATATACTTTCCAGCTATGTAAATACTGATCAACTGAGTCTTTGCTTGGATGAAATCATTCTATTCTGACTTTTTCTTCCAGTTGTGTGTAATACTGGAGCCAATGCAGGAACTGATGTCAAGACATAAAACTTACAATCTAAGTCCTCGAGACTGCTTGAAGACTTGCTTGTTTCAAAAATGGCAGAGGATGGTGGCCCCACCAGGTATGTTTCATTTCCAGTATTTTACTTATTTTATAGTTAAATTAATATGGAAACAATGGGAAAATTTACTGCAAGTTTACTTACAAAGGAAAGTAATAAGAATTAGCACTGTTCCAAAAGTAAGCCTGAAAATGTTTTATGATTTCAGTCTGGCCCAACTGATTTATAGATGTGCACATTCAGATGGTTTCACTATGACTAGGATATAATTTAGTACAAAAATATGTGTAGATGGAATGCAAAATGCCTACTGGCTCCATTAGAATTCATCGTTTGTATAATTCAGCTTCCTGCTGTGACTCTGAAATTACAGCTACAATTCATAATTAATTGTCTTTGAGACTAATATAATGTTATTTACAGGCCTGGACCTAATCTCCTTCCTCTTACACCTCAAAATAATAATTCTCTCTTTTTTCAGATTATTAAAGATTTGTATATCTAAGACTATTCACATGGGTGCCCAGGCCAAATTTTGAAAAGTACAGTTGCCCCGCTGTTCTTTTTCTATTTAAGAAAAGTTATGTAATCGTCCTGATTCGGTCTAAGTTTGGAAGACTTGCAGAGAAATGGCATTCAATACTCTCTAACGTATTCACTTGGGAGTGGCAGTTGTAAAGATGGAGCCCACATCAGAGGCAGAAGGAACTGAAGTGGTAGTTGCTCGTATCCTGTATCGATGGCAGCAGGGAGGCAGAAAGCTGCCTTTAGTCTTTGCCTCTGGCTGGGTCGGTTGAGGCTGTACCCTACATCAGAATAAGATCCAGAATTTTGTTTAGCACCAAATGTTACTTGCTGTGTGACCTTCAGCAAGTTACATGGTCAGTTTGAACGTCATGATAGACATCGTGATACTCCTGTTGACAAAATGCTTTCAAATATCTTTACAGATAATGCTGGGAGAACTTCATTAGTCCATTACACAAAATTGAAAGCAGATTCCATTGGTTTGGGTCCAAATATCCTACAGTTCATATGTTAAACCTACTACTACTACTACTAGTATTAGTACTACTAGTAATCATAGGAATTTAAAACTAGATGAAAAAATATTTCAGCACTTCTGCTTATGGATCATTTTAGTTAGTACACGCTTCACAATATCTGCCATTTGCTTTCCTTCTTACCATTTTATTGCAGCAGAACCCACAAGACAACCGACAACCAAGCGGAGGAAAAGGAAAAACTCTACCAGCAGCACTTCCAACAGCAGTGCTGGGAACAACGCAAATAGTACCAACAGCAAGAAAAAGTCAGCTGCTGCAAACCTGAGTCTATCAAGTCAGGTACCTGTAAGTCTCACTTTCTTTTTAGGCCTGAATCGCTTACGGTGCTTTAATTCTTTCCTTGCATTGTAAAGAAGGTGCATTCTTGAGCCTAAACTATCACAAGCAGAAGGCGATCTTGCACAGCGTGCTGTGGAAGCTGGGGAATTAGCGGAGAGATGTGAAGAAGCCATTCTGCAGTGCAGCTTTAACAAATGACCCTGAAGCAGGGGTATCCTGAGGACCAGATGTTATTCTTTTTAAAGCCTGGCCCAACTCCCCTTCTTGTCAGTGGGAGTTCTGCCGCGGGCAGTGGGACTCAGGCTGGGCCTCGTGTTGTTAGATACAGCATGAGTCTTGCAGACTTTCACCTGCCAGGTGCTGAGTGAGGATGAGTCCCTGTGGAACAGGACAGCCGTACCTGAGCAGACCGCTGGTCTCTCTCCGTTAGTACCTTACCTCTAATTGGTGCCGGGTTCAGGTGCTTCAGTGGAACAGGTTATGAATTAACTTACCCGCAGAGGTTATCTCTTTTTCCAACCACTCCACGTGCAGGGGGTAGATCCCCTGGAATCTGGGTCTCAGCTTATCCACCCTGCTAGCTGCAACTGTTGACTTCCTAATTATATAGGGAAACACCAAGTCTTTTCCAGAACTGTACCAGCACTTTAATAATCACATTTATTGCCTTATTCACAATACAGGGGTAATCAGACCCCAAATTGTGACCAAGTGTGCCTTAGTCAATAAGAAGATGGCTTATGCATTTTAAAGTTAGGGAAATTTAATTTCGTGTTATAGGAACTGTAAAGTGGTATCTCGGGAATAACATGCAGGGATTTTTATTGGATTTCTGATCAGCAGATAAGAAAGGGTTAGGTCTCTTCTGAAGCCTGACAAAGAATATAGGCCTTTTGTTAGCACAAAGCAGGCAATTCCTAGGAAATCTGAACACCCAGATAAAAAGAGGAGTAGACTAACACCAGTGAAATGAAATTAAGATTTTTGTTTAGCAACTGATTCAGCAATCCACTAGCTTACAGAAGCTTTGGGCTTCAGTACATTAAACTCATATTTTTTCCTCGTCATATTAAGATTTTCACGTGGCTTGCATCCCCGGAGTCAGGGTTTTTTCCCTAATATACGCATCTCTGGGTTTTTCTGGCAGCACAAAGCAGTCAGAAGGCCAGCTACCTGATCCCCTGGTGGCAGGAGCCACTGCCTCACCAACTGTGTCTGCCAGAAAACCTCTTGGATCAATAATCAACCATATTTAAGAAAAAATCAGCAATTAGGTGTAAAACTGAGCAACCAGCTAGTTCCCTGTTGTCTCCAAGTTTTTAAAGTATCTCGGCTACTCCCTGCTCTGAGTTCAGTTCAGTAGGACCAGAATCTGACCCTCTGCCTCTTTTCAGTCTGCTCCTCCCTGGAGAGATGACTTTTGTTGGCCTCAGTGGTAGCCACATGTGCTCGTATGCTTGAGTGTAATTAAGCCCTCTGATAGTTACCTGTCACTCCCACAGATATTCAAGCTGACTTCAGGTACTGAAAGGCTACTCCTGACAGATGAAGCAGTCAAGGTTACTCTTCCTGATGGAGATGATAGTTGAGCATCTGAGACATAATGGTGAAGTTTATCATGGTATGAGGGATGGATTTTTAGTCTTCACTGACGTTCAGGATGCTGCATAGTCAATACGTTTCAATATTGTTTGCTCTCCGTACCAGAGTAGCAAGATGGTCCAAACTCTTTCGTACGGAGGATCAGGTTCCATTTTTAGGACTCTTCTCCTTTCCCATTGCACAGTGGAAAACGCTCAGCTGTTCGGCTTGACATACTAACAGCTCTTCCCATCTTCCCCACAGCAAGCACAGCAAACCAGATGGGACTGATGGTTGGGCCACCCTGTAGAGTAGACAGAACTAAAAATAATTGTAGCAGTAGGATATTTTGGTGTAAAACTGTTCAACACTTTTCGGTTAAAGAGAGAGATGTTACCATGTTTCTTCAAAATGATGCGTTCTTTGAAGTGGGCCTTATTACAGGCATGCCACTGCTTTCTGAATTTAGCTGCAGGTAGCAGTAACTTGCTTTCTGTTTCTTTCTCTTTACTTTACCTTGAAGTGAATCATTCAGTAGTTAATATTTGATTTTCCTTATATGCAACAGAAGACAAGATATCCTCAAACACAATTTGACATTTTTCTGCTAACTAAAAGTTTCCTTTGGCCATAGAACTTTCTGTGATTCACACAGGGACTTCCTGCTCAGTAGAAGAAAACCTATCAAAATAATTCATTTTCAGTATTAAAAGCATTTCCCCCCTCATTATTAGAGAAGAGGAATGAAATCACTGCATCTTCTGTCCAGATGACTCACATAAGCAGAGCTAGTTTCAGTTCCACTTTTCCCATCATCCTCTCTGGAGAACCCCAACAATGAGCTCATACCCATACCAAACTTGGATTAATATGAAGTCATGAACTCCAGCTTTCTCTTTTTCTACAATGATTTCTTCCCAGCCAGCGAAGACAGTCTCTCCACCATAACAGAATCTAACTCCTAATTTCCTGTCACTTTTATGCTCCTATGTTGGTTTCTCTTTGATAGTAACTTAATCCTGGTTAGAGAATGTTTTCTTAGCCTCTATTCTATGTAATGTTTCTCAGTTTAGGACATTAGTAATTACTCAGTATTGCTCATACCGTAATGCTGTGTACACTAAGGCAAATGTGTTAACTTACCATATCCCTCATCCACATTTCTCACCCACACCATTAACTTCTGTTTCTTTAATGAGGTCTTCATGTCTGGAGAGGCAAATATTCCATGTTCAGGACAGTGACAGCTGGAGTACCATCAGCTATGACAAAGCTTGAAACTTCAGAGAGATTTGTTATTTTCCCCGTAGCTCTTTCCAGATCTTCAGATAAATACATGGGGCTAAGCAAACCTTGATCAATGAGATTGACCATTTTTTGTCACATACATGTTCTTCTTCAGTAATAGGGTGTTGTGCCATTTCCTCTACCTGCGTTATTATCTGATCAGTTCTTCAGGCAGGTTCTTCTGCTGACAATACAGAGCCAAGCCCGGAAAGGCAAATGATGTGGTTGTATTTCCATGCATGGGTCAGGTTGGCATTGCACCCTGAAGTTCAGTTGCTGCAGCCTAATCAATCAGAATCATTCGTGCCCTTTGTGTTGCCTTAAATTTATGAGTGCTTTGACTGTGTTGACACATTGTGATACATCTTTAATAACACAGTCTAGAAGAGAGGGTATGCATCTTCTCTCCCATCAGTAATTTGAAAAGGGTCAGTTGCAGTCTGTCCTCATATCTCTAACTATTTTTTATACTTTCTCAACCCTGCTAAATAAAAGACAAAGTTTTGCCCTTTTGACAGTCACTTGCACTCTATTACATTCATTTTCTTTTATAATGTGGTTTCTGTGATTCTGTTAGTTCTCGTGCTACTGGTTGCAGACCATCAGCATCTCCTCTTGTCCCCTCAAGGGACTTCCTGCCCAAGTCCCTTGTTTAATACCTTTCCTACATTCTTGAAATGAATGTAGTTAGCGAGTGTGCTACATGATGGCACTGCACAACTCATGCCTAGGTTACCTGTCCAGTGATTCTTTTGACCTGAATCTGTAAGTCCTGAGGCAACACATTGTAGTGTGTTGGAAGTAGAACCAAAAGTCTCTTTAATAGTACAAATTTTTCTCACCTCAAGTTTTCTTCTCTGAGGCTCTCATTGGTGCAGGCTCAACACTTCCGGTGATTTCCACAGATGTATTGGCTTCTTTTTAGTGTGTAAAGAAAGTTGACAGAACAAGGATCCAGAAATTGTAGTCCACTCAGCTCTCTCAGTCTCAGCAGTTGCCAATCATTTGAATTGTTCTCAGATTTTTCGTGTCCTCGGTCACGTCTGATCTTTGGAAGAAACATTAACCCATTGTGCAGAAACTGGAATTAACAATTTCCTCTTTCCTCCAGACAAGGAGCAAAGATGGGCAAGACTACTTCTGCAAGGTTCATAGAAAACCTGCCTTTCCAATATTAGCCTTCCTATGATTTTAAATAAATTCATTATCTAATTTGTGTGTGTCACTGCCTTATCACTTACACAGTGATAATTTCCTCTAATATTTGAAGCTAGCTGCAGTATTTTCCCTAGTCTTTGCTCAGTGTTCAAGCCTCTTTGCTGGCTGAAATCGTATTCCTTTGCATTGTTCATATTCTCCTGCTTCAGAAAAAACTTTCTTGCAAGCCCCAGCCCTTGTACGTAGAGCAGTGACTTGTACGCTGTGATCTGTGGATTACAGGTATACGCAGGATCATCAGAAGAGGTCCATACAGCCATATCACCTAAATACCACTTTCTGTTAAGTTTAATTAAAAATGTGCTCATCGATTCATTTTCATCTATTTGAATTTGGAAATTTAACAACAATGCACAACTCTCACAAACTCTAAGTAGCATTGCTCTAGGCTGCTCCCAGACATAACCATAGAAATTAATAGGTGGATTTTGCTTTCATTTACTAATGAAGATCCTGTTGAGTGTAATACTGTAACTGTGAACCCAGTGAAATATCATTTGTGTTGGAAAGAATAAAGCATCACTACATGCCACTAAGTAAATCAAATGTTCTTTGTTACATCCAGAGTCTTAATTAGAGCTTCCTTGCACTCTTTAAGTGAGTTACAGCCCTCAATAATCTCTCTTTCTCTTTGTAGTTCTCTGTAAACTCCTCAAAAGCCAAATCCATAAATAAATCTGCTAATGTGGAAGGGAGCAATACAATCTCTTACGTGTTTCAGAAACAGGGGGTACGTTTAGGTGGTTTGTAATGGATGTAGTAGTACCAGAGCTACAGTCCCAGGGCCAGAAGATTAGTGTAAGAAATTATCCCATGTCTCAGAACTGTGCAATTCAGAATCTAAGATTTAGCCGTAAGGAGATGAGAGTGAATAAATTGGTTTCCAGTTGTTGCGCTTTAGGAAAAATATTCCAAACAAGACCAAAATGTCAAGTTAACAGAGAGGACTATGATGAGATGTGAAAGATAACTATTTTCCTCTGGAAAGTGTTTACTCTGAAGCCTAATTAAAATGTCAGTTCTGCTTCCATAGATCATTTCAACACCACTGTCAGTCTGATGTTTTTGTCTTGGAGGCAGTGACCATTACAGGTGTGGGCAGCAATGGGGCTCTCAGTCATTAATAATTTTGTGGCAAGGAGCTAAGAAGTCAATTATTAAAATAATCACCACTAACACAATTCTGTAAGAAGGAAGAAAGGCAGGAGGAGGTACCCTTCTTCTTTTGACTTAGCACTTAGAGGTATGCTGGCTGCTAAAACTAGTGGAACTTTCAGTCCTTGGAGTATGAGGCTTGGTTGAACAATATACTTGATAGTTTCAGGCATTTTTAATTATCTCAGGCTTGTGAAGCACTGTTCTCCTACTTCTGGGGACCGTGACACCTGAGCTACGAACTAATCACCGTAACACATCGAGCGAGGCTACGTATTAACAGCAGCAAAGATGGCAGGCACAGGGATGGGGACTTCTACGTGGCCCACCACACATTTTTACCTCCAGACTCCAGTAAGACATTGTTTAGCTATCAGATGATCTTTAATAATCCCAACTTAAAAAGTTTGTTTATGTAACTGGGCATAGCAGAGCTAAACTATGAGGCTAGGTATAAAAAGGATGAAGCCCGAGAAATGACCGGTCTGTTAAGTAGAAGTGCTTGCATTTGAGTTGTGTATGAAGTGATCTCTGTGTATAGTTTATATGCATCAATTTAAGTTTGGATGGCAACTAGGGTTATTTCAGGATGAAAGGTATGATATACATGAAAGCTGCTTTTGTGGTTATATTATTAAATAATACATTTCTATCACATAATGTAAAACATCCACTGCTTTATTTACAGTGCTTCACTGGAACCGTATTTTACTATCATGAGACATTCCTTGACCAAAAATGTTGTTTCTAATCACGGAGTAAATTAATAAGATTGAGTGACTACAGTCTAAATCTTTTTTAAACTAATCTAGTCAAATATGTGCTACCATAACTAGGCCATAGCAGTGTGTGCTGCCGTGCAAGAGACTAGGGTTTAATTCTTGGATTCTGCTTCTCACTCCATGAGCAGGAGCTAGGAGCACTCCAGAGCTGCAGCCTCAACCCTGGGAGGGATGGAGCCTTGTGTCATTCAACAGCAGTGACCCCCACTGGCCAATTTAAGGAGAAGCATTGAGGGGCTCTAAAAGGAGTCACTTCCAGTCCTCCTCAGAGGTTGGTGGTCATTGCACGGGATCTAGTGAGTGGAGGTTCAATGGGTGCACTCGGTGGGGTCTTCAGCTTTCAGTCTGAGGAGCAGAATCCTCTCTGGGGAGGAACCAGCATGTGCGCTTCCTGAGACACTATTTTTGCCTGACATAACGATAAGTGGCAGGATTGTCAAGAATTTTTTTTCAAATGTCCTGTAACTAATGCTGTGATATCTATCTTTTAAATAGAATGAGGGAAAACTCCACTAACCTCAATATAATTGTAGTTTAATTCCTAGAGAGAGAGAGATACTCAGTAGCATGGAGAGAAATACAAGTGCAAACTGTCCTCTCAGTGGGTGTCATTATATTAAAGGAATAATATTTGCAAAGAATCTGAGAAATTAGAGATGGAAATACTTACAAGGTCATTGAGCATCTCCCCGCTGATGCACAAAAGTTTCCTACCACAGATCGAGATTTTTCCCAGCCCAGCGTTAGGCGACCTGAGCAGCAAAGCTAGCACCCTTCCAGTGGGGTCATTAATCCTCAGTCTGCCGTCCTCAGTATCAGAAATATTGTCTTAGCAGTGGGGGTTACATTTTCATTTACTTAATGTCATCTTACTACCCTAGTTTACATGTCATCGGGTTGGCCTAAAGCGATCCTCTTCCGTTCAGCACTTGCAGCTGTTAAGCACATTTACCCCTCCCAATCATTTGGTGGATGTAACACATACTTAATTCTTTCACGTGGCCTCCCCAGCCAGCTGTTGTAGCCCCATAGTTATTTTTGATGCGCTTCTCTAAGTCTCATCCAAGTTGCCGACCTCTTGCTGGTGTGGCAACAGGGGGAACTTGAGGTCCATGCTCAAGAGCGTTGAAGTGAGGGGAACTGTTGCCACCTCGGTCTGTGATTCTGTATTTCAGCCACTGTGGTCCTTTTTTGCCTGCCACACTGCACGCTCAAACCCAACTTGCTGTCCTCTGCCAGGTCTCTCTTGTCATTAAAGCTCTCGCAATACAACGGGGTCAGGTCTGGTTCAG